ATAAAATGTATGACGCTGCAAATTACACTTCTGCACCTCAAAGATTAATTTTCTGTCACAACAAATTAATATAGGCCTATATCATCTGGAAAAACTACAATGCCCACTGATTCATTCAATAGATATTTGTACAAGACCCAGCTAAATTAGCTTTTTTTGCTGACCCAAGCCAGTACCTATTTGTTTTTACCATCATGACAATATTTTCATTAGCTACATCACATAAAACGGTATACATTTTTTTTTTATCTGTCTTTTTACATACCAGAAGAAAAAATGAATGAAAAACGTAAAAAAAAATAATAATAAAAAAAAACCTTCAAGAAAAATGTTCAAGAAAAAAAAAAAAGTCATTAAGGCTGGGCGATATGGCCCAAAATAAAAAAATAAATAATTTTTCATATCAGTCGATACCGATAAATATCATGATACATTTCAAATGTTTAAAGGCAAACACTTCACACTTTTTGAATTCTTTACACTTTTCCAGTCATTTTTCCTGAACAAAATAAATATCTTAACAGAAATATTAACTTCCTAGTTTGTATCATGTTCTAATGAGTCATATTGTTTCAAATCATGAAACAGGTTTGTGTTGGCTGACTTTGATGACGCATATCTTCAGCACAGTTTGCAGTGCAGGCTGCAATACTAATATTATTACCTTTTTTATCTCTTAGAAATGCACAGTTGACAGTAATAGTAGCTTGACTACATAAATTTGGAAACTAAACGTTACTGATTAGTTTATAATTATAAGCCATTCTTAACATTTCAACACAAGCTAATACACCAGCCAGCTAAATAACTCGAGATATTTAGCGACACATTTTATGACATTCAATTCAACAATGCTCAGAACAATAACAGAATACCACATGATTATGTTTGTACATGTAAAACACTCACATGATCTACAAATACAAGATTTTGACACAACACAACACTGGTTCCAGGTCTGCAGCAGAAGAGATGAGAGCTTACCTGAAGCTGCCATAGACGATGAGGAGGATGGAGATGAGGAAGGTTGACACCTGGCTGGAGTCGACAAGGGAGTACACCCTGAAAAGACAAAGGAGGTTTCCAATTATTGTATGCCACAACAAAACAGCACAACGAAAGGTGCCAGGCCGGATATGTCGTACAACAGAC